GCATCTGGCAGCGTTACCCGAAAAAGAATCACATCATTGACTGGTCCCCAATAAAGCCCCAGAACCTTGGCATCAGTGTCGCCTAAGCCAAGTGTGCAGCTGGATGCCTCTGTACCAGATGTCGCCGGGAGTACATCCACATCGTTGGATTTCCACTTGCAAAGTCGAAAGTGGCCTTGTTGCAATATGGTGGAAAAGTCTCGCGCTAACGTGATTGCTTCATTTGGCGTATCAGCGCTATCCAGGAGATCATCCATATAAAAGTTGCGTAAGATACTGTCCCGTGCAGCTGCAGCTCGATTAGCATCAGGAACCACGATTTGGTTGTCAATGGCGCACTGGTTCAGAACACGAGCAGCGTTATAAGGGCTGCAAGCCATACCGTAGGTGACAGTCTTCAGTTGATACGCACGGAGCGGGTCATTGGGGCTTTCCCGCCAGAGGATCTGCTGCCAACATCGATGCCTGGGGTCCACTTCGATTTGCCGGAACATCTTCTCGATGTCAGCCGTGACAGCTACGCGGAATCGACGAAAGCGTAAGAGGATGTCAACTAGGGGATCTTGAACTGCCGGCCCAACCAGCTGAGTGTCGTTCAAGGAGACGCCATTGCTGGTCTTCGCCGAAGCGTTGAAGACCACACGGAATTTCGCGGTGACAGCATGGTGCGGTATAAAGTAGGCGTGGGATGGATCATCTCGTTGTAGCGTGATCTTCTCCATGTGGCCGAGCGTCTCGCCGTAGGAATCACCGAGTGCAGGCGCATCCGGAGAAAATGGGATCTGCACTATGTATCGGCCATTGCTCTTGCGTCGAAGTTATACTAGGCAAAATGTGCGCATCAAAACGGCACTCAAATTCTGCATCGTGATATGATCGCATCACCAGAGTCGTCTGTCCGCGCGAAGAAGTTGCCCTCTGCGAACCAATACCTTCTACCGTCAATGTGTAACGCCTTCTTTGGAGATTCAAACGCTTAAAAAATGGCTCCGTAATGAAGCTTACCTGTGAACCCATGTCACACAAGAGACGACACGATACTTCCTCTCCACACCCATTTACGATGGGCGCCTTGGCAGTGGCTAGTAGGACGATTCCTTCGGATTGCGCCAGGAGACACTGGACAGCATCCAGACGGGGCAGGACCTGAGCCGCAGTAGCGCTGGTTGATGGCGATTGTTGCTCGAGTACGGACACTGGTTGCGCTACTGAGCTGGTGTTTGTAAATGCTCGCCTTGCGGAGCTGCCTTACAAAGCATGGTGTTGTGTTTCTGCTTACAGTTGTCGCAATTCCCCGAGTTACAGTCACAGGCCGAGTGACCTGGTCCCAAGCAGTTGAAGCATAACGTTGCTTGGCGTACCCAGTGCAAACGTTGATCCAGACTTAATGCTCGAAATTGAGGGCATCTTGATATACGATGTGGCTCGGCGCATCTTGGGCAGGTCATTGCTGATCTCATGTTGGCGCTTGAAGATTTGGGCATCACCATATGTGACTGTGCGGTACGAAATGTTGCCGAGTGCCTGGGCGGTACGGTAGAGCTGCTCCTTAAAGTGTCGGCATAGGTCTCAATCTCCTCAAGCATTTTTGGCAGCTGCGGCAGAGTATCTGAATGACTCAGAACGGTCCAGTGCGTGACCGCCGATGTTGGTAATTTACGGAGAACAATAGGATAAACGATGGCGTCCCAATGGTCGGTGGCCAAGCCCATCACGCTAAGTGCACATAAGGTACTGCGTACTACATCGATTACATTCCGACCATTGCGTTGCGTAAGTGCTGGGTGTTCAGGCAAGTCCAACAACCAATTCACATGTGACTCAACCAAACGCCTGGGATTGTCGTACCTCCTCTTCAATTCCGCCCATAGTTGGTCGTAACCTCCAGTGTATACGCCGCCAACCATTGGCACCGCTTGCGCATCGACGCACTGCCTTAGCCGGCTGATTTTGTAAGTGTCACCAACCAATTTTCCTGTCGGCCATCGAACGTGGGGAGTTTGACGGGATCTAATCGGTGTTCACCTTGGCACCGGCTAGATGCAGAGTGCGC